TAATTTTTAAGAATATCTACATGTAAATTAACTTAGACATACAACGATAATAAATAATCCAGGTGGCTCTATTGCCTTTTTTTTTCCAACGGATTGGTTAAGTTCTCAGACGTCGTAAGTAAAAAAGTCTTTTTTTGGATTAATTTTGTTTTAATTGAATGTACGTATATTTCGTTAAATAAATTGTTTTATTTTAATTCAAACATTATACAGAGATATTTAAAATCAATTTTAACGTTCGATTTCATTGAATTTTAACATTCTATTCGGTGTTCGCCATCTTGAAATCTAGCTTTCTTGGTAGAAATGTATATTAGTAATTATGCTTCTTAGTTTATATTTTAAAATGATTGAACACTCATCTTTATATCTTTTTTTCCCCCTTAGATTGAAAATGCAGATTTTCGTTAAAACTCTAACTGGGAAGACTATTACTTTGGAGGTAGAGCCAAGCGACACAATCGAGAATGTAAAAGCAAAGATTCAAGACAAAGAAGGCATTCCGCCCGACCAACAGAGGTTGATTTTCGCCGGAAAGCAACTCGAAGACGGTCGCACTTTGTCTGATTATAACATTCAGAAAGAATCTACCCTTCATTTGGTTCTTCGTTTGAGAGGAGGAATGCAGATTTTCGTGAAGACATTAACTGGAAAAACCATTACTTTGGAGGTAGAACCAAGCGATACTATCGAAAACGTAAAGGCCAAAATCCAGGATAAGGAAGGAATCCCGCCTGACCAGCAGCGCTTGATTTTTGCCGGTAAACAGTTAGAGGACGGTCGCACTTTGTCAGATTACAACATCCAGAAGGAATCTACGCTCCATTTGGTGCTTAGATTGCGTGGTGGGATGCAAATATTTGTGAAAACTCTTACTGGAAAAACCATTACGTTGGAAGTTGAACCCAGTGATACCATAGAAAACGTCAAGGCAAAGATTCAAGACAAAGAAGGTATACCGCCCGATCAACAGAGATTAATTTTTGCCGGAAAGCAATTAGAAGATGGTCGCACCTTATCCGATTATAATATTCAAAAAGAATCTACGCTTCACTTGGTACTTCGTTTGCGAGGTGGTATGCAAATATTTGTTAAAACCCTGACTGGTAAAACTATAACTTTAGAGGTGGAACCTAGCGATACCATAGAAAATGTAAAAGCTAAAATCCAAGATAAAGAAGGTATTCCACCTGATCAGCAGAGGCTTATTTTTGCAGGAAAGCAATTGGAGGACGGTCGCACCCTTTCTGATTATAATATCCAAAAGGAATCCACTTTGCATCTGGTACTTCGTCTTCGTGGTGGAAATTAAACTGAGCAAAAAGTTTTATATTGAAAAGAAAAATTAGTTTCACTGTTTCACTTAAATGCTGCTTGAGTGCACTCTCTTATTTTACAAAATTATATATTTTTACATTTTTTTCTTTATTCACTCTTTCATATAATAAATTAGTATATACAGTTTGCTTAATGTCATTTGCTGTATTTTCAAAGTTTGAAAATTTGAAATTTAACTTTCAAAATAAGAATAAAGTTCATTAATATTCAGTTTAACTGTAAACTGTTTCCATTTATTATCACTGAGATTAATGTCTTGTGAAATCTAAATTTGATATCTGCATGTGATTTTTCATTAAACTGCTCTAGTGAATTTTTTTTACCAGGGACCAATAAAATTTTTTCATACATGGTTCATTAATCTAAATTTGTCAAAATAAACTTTGTTTTAAACATAGGAAATTAAGTGGTGCTTATAATTAATGTTCCAAATTTTTAAAAATACAGTACTATCACAAACATTAAAGTTGCTTTATTTTCAATGTTGAAGTTGCTGACTTTAAGCATTTTTAGTATGACTTACAGGATCAAAAAAACAAACCTTAAATAGAATATTTTAAGATAAATATCTTCAAAATAGTTTTTTCTGGTTCTTATAAATGTCACTTGGCAAAATTCATTTTGAAAGTTGTGAATGCTATTGTATGAAAAGTAAAGTTGCTCAAGACAATTTGTGTAGAAGCCCTTATAAAACTTCAGATGTATTGGTGTGTAGAAATTCAGATATTAAAACTTCAATTTGTACATTTCAGATTTTCTTGCTGAAATTAAACATTAAAAGTAGTGTTCAGTTAATTACATAAGTAAATTATATTGCAGGTAATCATAAGTATTTTTAGTATAGTTGGGTATGTATAGAAAGAAGTATGTTTAGGGCCATTACGGAATGTGATAGAAATTCTGTCCTGATCAAAATCCATTTAATGGCTTTTTGGAAAACTTGAATTTTAAACCTGTCACTAAACTTGGCTAATTCTTAAGCTTTTAATGGCAGGTGACACATTTTTCATTTCAGTTGAGTATGATTTATGAACCCAACTTAAGTTTTTCAAATCAAAATTAGGAGGAAAATATTTTTGAAATTTTGTTCAGATGAATAATTGTAAACTGTTCAATTATAAAAGCATTGTGATTATAAGTATTTTCTACCCTATTCTTCCATATGTTTATTTTTTAATAAAATCATCACTTTTTTTTCTTTTGAAGTAAATATGTTACAAATTTTTTCTTGAATTGATATGTTTATGAGGGCTGTTTGGAAAGTTTGCGGCCTCAAATAGAATAACAAACAAAATAATGTTAAAACTTTTTTTATTTTTCAATGTAGTCTCCTTTGTTAGCAATGCACTTATTCCAGCGATGTTCTAGCTTTTTTATGCCATTACAATAGGTCGATTTGTCAAGGTGTGCAAAATACTCGTTTACTTCAGAGATGACTTTGTCATTTGAGTGGAATCTCTTTCCAACCAAGAATTATTTTAAATTTGGAAAAAGGTGGAAGTCACTGGGGGCCAAATCAGGTGAGTACGGTGAATGTGGAACTAATTGGAAGCTAAGTTCGTTTATTTTTTGTTCAGTGATTCTGGCATTATCGTGGTGAAACAGAACCTTCTTCTTCAAGTGTGGCCTCTTCGATTTCTTTCTTCAGTTTTTCCAAAAGTATACAGTAATAGACAGCATTGATGGTCTTTCCTCTTTCTAGGTAGTCAATAAAGATGATTCCTTTAGCATCCCCAAAAAACCGAGGCCATCACTTTCCCCGCTGATGGAACTGTTTTTGCCTTCTTTGGTGGTGGCGAACTGGGGTGTTTCCATTGCTTCGACTGTTCTTTTGTTTCAGGAGTGTAGTAATGGATCCACGTTTCGTCAGTAGTCACAAACCGACGCAAGAAATCCCGTGGGTTTTTCTTGTAGAAGTCCAAACACTTCTTTGACATCAAAGTGCGAACACGTCTTTGCTCAGCGGTCAGCAGATGCGGCACCCAACTTGCTGAGACCTTCGTCATACCCAAATTTTCGGTTAGATGTGGTGCACTCGGTCGACAGAGATGCCTGTTGTCTCAGCTATCTCACGCGTTTTCAAACGGCGATCTGCTAACACCAAATCGTAAACTTTGTCGATATTTTTTTCAGTGACGGCAGTTGATGGCCGTCTGCTGCGAGAGTCATGTTTCACACTCTCTCTGCCAGATTTAAAAAGGGCTGTCCATTTTTTCACAGTGGTTTACAAAGGAGCATACTCTTCCAAAACTTCATCCATGTCAGCTTTGATTTGAGATGCGGTCAACCCTTTTTTCGTCAGGTATTTTATGACCGCACAAGTCTCCGTCTTCTCCATTTTTGACAAAGCATGTGCACATTGACTATCTGCTAAGCTGTCGTGGCAAAACTTTACGACAAATCAAGCGGAAATTGGTATCGTATCTTTAGCAAGGATGGCTGAATCATTCCCGCCAAAAATTAAATTGATCGCAGCACCGCATATTGGCAAGGCCACGAACAGCCCTGGTAAATCATTGAGTTTTTCGTAAGTAATTGATACAAAGTGAACATACAAACATACTACTGTATATATAATTAACTGAACATCAGATAACTATATACAGTAGTATCTGTTTAGTGTAATTATAGATATTTATTATTTATCATATAAATAATAGTTTGAAACCATAAGTTTATAGATGGTGGGATTCCTTCTGTAATAATATGCTCCTGTTTGTGGTGCATGTAATCTCCTTACATATATATTACACATATACTTTGCAGAATTTTCTCCAAATGAACCCCACCATCTACAAACTATTCAGGAATGATATAGATCAAATAGACTGCACAAAGTTGCCTGGTGTATATAGAATACACACCACTGACCACAGATTGAACTAGAACTTGGAGTACAATTGTGCTACCATACATTATAACCTTGACTCACAAAACAATAAGAACAGAAAAGTGACCTGAGTAAAAGAATACATATCTTGGAAGAATGAAAGAGAAGAATCATTTTTAGTGAGGAGAATAAATTAACCTACACCAGTGATTTCTGACCCACATGATGATTTTGAGGTACCTTGCATTGAATATTTAGAAAGTTAATTTTTATAGTTTATGCAAAGTTTTAAAATTCTCAAATATGTTTTTATATGATGCAAAAGCAATATCCCAAGTTATTGTGAAAAGTTTTAAAGGCTACTAATTATGACCTCAGATACAAAAATTTTATCAAATATACAACAGCAGATTTTTCAATAAATGAAATATTTGATTCCATTTCTGTTATTTTTTTTTATATATATATTAAAAAGTTAAATAAAGTTTATAAGTATTTATTTTTGCTTTTTTTAGTTACAGAAATTAAAATATTTGACCTGCAATTGGAGTTACTGAATTTTAAGTTCAATTTTGACCTCTTTCAGAAAAAGGTTTGCTGTTGCTGACCAAGACAGTCTGATAGCTTAGCATTTTACTTGCGTGATCTTTGAAAAAGGAACAGATCTCCAGGTGATAATAGGGAAGATCAGTGATGGATTAGGGTGGCTTTGGTTATAGTGGTAAAACAAATTTTGCATTCCCTACAGGTTAAAGGAAAGTTACTAACTACCAACACCTGTTAGAAGAGAACTTTTCACCATTTGCTTGACTCTACTAATATTTTTCCTTCATTTCTACTCTACCCACAGTTATCTCTGTTGCAGAAGTTTGTGGAAAACTTTTTAAAAGGTTTGTTGTTTTGAAAAATGGTTTTATTGGATATTAAAAGGAGTGGCCATATCATTTTGCAATGAAATAGTTGCTGATTTTCTTGTACACTTTACAGAAAAAATTAATTGTGACTTATGTGCAGTAAACCATTTGTTAATAGTTTGTAATAGAAATTAAATTTTCAGTTACCTGTGTTATCATATTAAAACTGTTCAAAAAACATGGTCACTATCATTTGCAGCTGACCTTATTTTCATAACATCTTATTCTGTCTTCATATCATAAAACTAAGTTCTAGAACAAATTTATTCATACATAATATATTTATTTCTATTAAAGTTATATTTTATTCTTTTGCTAATTAATTTATTATACATTTAAATTCCAAGAACATAAACCTTAGATACACATTGAATTGTATCATTTTCCCATATTACCATACAACAACCTGAAAATTAAAATTTTATTATTAATTAATGCATTACATAACTTTTCTTATAGAATGAGTGTCAATTTATATAAAAAATAAAGACTAATTGTTTTTTGAAAATATTTTAAATGTTCTATTTGGAGTTAAAATATAAGCTGTTATATTTTGACTCGTAATAAAACAAATGAATTCATACATTCTATATTGAATTAATTATCTTTACTATTACATTTATAAGAAAACCAGTCTGATACAGCAGAAGTCAGTCAAAATTTATTTAAGGACTTAACTTTTTAGGGACTTCTTTTCTCGGTGCTGTAATTTTGTGCACATTGTGTTTAAACAATTTGAAACTGAGTCCACAGTTACCATCAGCATTAGGCACTGACTATCAGTGTTTTTTATGCTCCATCAGTGAACAGGCTGCTTTTCTTTTTTGTCAGCATTTTTAAAGAATTTAATTTTAAGAATAAAGTTTTAAAGAATCACAAACACTTCATTTAACGAGTCTAATAACAATATATATGCCAAAGACATTCTATGTATTTCATTATAAATGACTGAAGCAAACCAGAACTGTTCTCAGATTTCTTCAATTGGGAAAGAACCAAGATTAGTGTTTTTATATATGTATGAGAATTTTAGTTCTAATGTGATAATTTTAAATGGCAGATAAGATAAATTGCATCTTCAAGTCTGGCAATTTTAGTGTTATCATGTTGGTAGTTAAATCAACTATGGCTGACTCATCAGAGAAAGGAAATGAGTTACTCTCACAGTTATACCAAATTATTGAGAAACACTACAGTTTCTCTGCCCAAAAAGAAGAAACATCTGATTCATCACTTAAGAATACACAGGCTGTATGGTATGAACTTTCTCAAGAAAAGAATCATCATCAGTCTTTTACGAAGATTTGTAATTTTTGTAAAATAATAAGACTGATGATGGTTTTACCAAAAAGAAAAAAATATTCAGTATGGTAAGAAAAAAGACAGAGATAGGAAATAAATAACCAGAAAAATTACTGTCCTTAATAATTGCAGTAAAAAATCAATGAACTAACTGATAGCAACTGTTGTGAGTACCTTGTACTGTAAGAAAAGAAATTATTAACAAAGCAAAACATTGCAGAAAGGTATATAACAGGAGGCACTCATCATGCAATATCAAGATTGAATACACCATAAATAGAGGTATAGATTTATATATATATCTATCTATATATATATCTATACCTCTATTATATATCCTGTAAAATCTTTGATCTTTTATTTTCCCAGCTGTTATATATAACAGAGGGAAAGAATGGTTATTGGTCAATAAATGACCCCCAAAGATTTTTATATTTTTGGACTGGTGAATTTGAAACATTGAAAAATGCAAAAAAATTTAGGGGTAATTTCTGTATGTATGGATGTTTCTGTGGAGAGCACAATTTTGTTCACCCTCTTTGAAGCTTAATAACTCCTGTGCTTTTTGTCAAAAATTTCTGAAATTTGCAGGGAGGTTTGTTTATTAGGGGGTTGATGCTATTAAATTTTGGTGATTAAAGGTCAAGGGATGGGGAGATAAAGAGGGTTGTGTATATCTCCAGTAGGGTTGGACTTGATGATTTTACTCATTATTAGCATTTGCAATTTTTTAGAAAAGTCTACCCTAACCTTAAAATTAAGCTTTTTGCCATTTTAAATAGTTAAAAATATAAACATTTTTTAGTAAAATATGATAACAGGTGATGCCTTCAAAATTTTAAATGCTGCCAGGAAAGTTGAAATCTCAACATTCAGAGATCTTAGACAGTCATATAAATTCTAAAGTATGGCTTTAGTGCAGTTTGTGCATAACTATAATATGTAATTTAGTAGTGTGGCAAAATTGTCAATTAAACTCAATCTCCTTACTGTTTAATATCTATTTATATTATTTTGTTGTGCCAAGTAAAAAATAAAATTATGAAGAATCAGTGAGTATTATAAAAAAGTAATATTATTGTGAATGATTAATAAATATTGCTTAACTTAGTTGAATAAAAGTTTTCTTAATGTTAAAATAACTTTTAAATTATTGCTATCACTTGTTACTATCAAATGCTCATGAAGATTAAACTAAATTATAAAATCATGTGCTTTTTATATTTTTGTTCTGGATGTCTAAAATAATTTTTTAGTAAAGTGAATAGTTTTTATTTTGATAAAAATTAATTTTTTTCAATATTTATTGCAAGATTTGTTTGTTTTTAGTTTACATTAACAGTTTAACATAAAAAAGTTTAAAAAACAGCAAAATGTGAATTATAAATTAATTTTATTCATTCTTTAGGTAGACAACTTCCCCTTAACTGTATATCTGTGATTAATGAGAATGGTGTACTATTATTTGTTGTATATTTATATATACAGTTATACAAGTTAAATTATATAAAATTACTATTATATAAAGTAAAAAGTACTTGTAGAAAACAAAATATGGAGAATTGTAAATGGGAAAATGCAAACTGTTGGAAAATGATCTTGTGCAAATTCTCTTTGTTTTCACAGTTATTCACTTTGTTTGCTGCACATCCAGAAAGGTTTTCAATAGGTGGTGGAAGATGCAGTGGTGATGATTTAAATATTAACATTTAACTTAAATTATAAAAATTGACTCTTTTTAAATAAGTTTTTCTTTTATTTAACGAAAATAAGTTCTTAAACTATTTATTTTACATACCATCTGTTGATTCATCCCAATAACAAGAGCCAGTTGTGTGCAGACCTGAACCAGTACGTTGTACTACAACAGTAATTACTGAAATAATAATTTCATTATGGTAAGCATTATTTAAAATAAGTAAACAAAGTAAATAATTTACAACATATCTAGTAACAAAAATAGCAAAAATTATTTTTTATTTTATTAATATTTAAATTTGTTCAATGACAATTTTCTTTTTGCACACAAATATTATTGAGAAAATTAAGTGATAATGACTCATATATCATGCTAGTGAAACTATTTTAATTTTTTCATTCTCATGTACTGTACATAGGACATTTTAAGTTCCCAAATAACTGTTGTCATCCAAATACCTTAACACAAACTGAACAGCTGCTAATGATTTTGTATTGAAATTTGGCCACAGTTCTTTTGGTGATGGCTTGGTTGACCAAAAGTGTTAGAGAAGCAATTGTTAATTTAAATTTTGTGTTCTCCAAAACAGTAAATTTCAAGATTTTTGCTAATGCCAATACAAATTTGATAAAAATTTTATCAACAAATTGGTTTATTAATATAAATTGGTCTTTAAAACTTTAGTATTTAAAAAACAAATACTCCTAGACAATTACTCATAAATTATTAAACTAAAAGTAAAAATAATTTATATGAAAATAAATCTTCTATGTATGTGAAAAAATGAATAAACATTATCAGCAAACTTGATTAGCCATTGTCAAGTTTTATATTCTAAACAAAATTCAAAACTTCCTTGAATGTCAATAAAATAGCAATTTTTAAATTTTGTTTAGAATTTAGTAGCTGTAGATCACTAATCAAGTTATCCAGAAACATTTCTCTATTTTTTAAATATTTGCTAGACATAAAAGTTTTTTCATTTTAACTATGTTCACATGTTGCTTAAATTAATCCTTTTAATTTGTGATAAGTTATCTAACTTATAAGGCAATGATGTCATTTAGAAGTATAGCTTTTTGGTAAATAGAATTTAAAGAAGAAATATTTATTTTAAATGTTCAAAAATTAATTTGCAACATAAATCTTATTTTTATCATCATAATTTTATAATCAGAAATTAATGCTGGATTAAGCTAAATAGCAAGAATTAGAGTCTCTAAAAATTAATGAAAACACTTCTTTCAATGTGTGATGATAATGTGTGTTTATAGAAATTATAGTTAAAAATTTTTATTATATTGCAATAAAATTGCAAATGTCACACATTTATATACTCCAATATTTTGACTTTTTATGTTCTAATTCATTTGAATATAAGCATCTTATTGTGTTCAGAGTAAAGAAACACACAAAACAAAAATAAGTCTTTATTTAAACTTGTTTATTTGAACATTGAAAGCACAAACACACAACTAAGAGAAAGACAGAGAAAAAGTAATTTGTCATGTGTGTCCCTGGATAACTAGCATCAACTGTGGCAACTAATTACAATAACAGTCAGGAACACCAAGAATTTCTGGCTGATACACTACACATCAACTGTGTGAAACAAGTACTGACGTGTCTGTGGTTTTGGTCATGGTTGCTTTTATCTTTCGTCGTTGCAAGTGAAAGAAATGTACGAGACAAGATCTTAACCAAAACTGATTTTATTGTCTTTCTTGCGTATTTGGTACTGCACATCTCGACAATGCGGCTAACAAAGACAACTGGTGGTCGACAGTCTTTGTGGGGTGAGTTCGAATTTATTGCAGGAAATGATGACTCATACACCCTGGGGTCGTTGCTTGTATTTTACAACGGTTAAGGGTACAGATGTGAAGGGTGGTGTTTGCCACATGTCTAAGAAAATTTCAGAAGATATGCATGCTTGCAATTACTGCTATTGTTGTATAGGGTTAACATCAAAAGTTTCATTTATGACACTATTACACATATATTGTAATGTGAATAAATGAATAACAAGTAGAGTACATCCCATTTCATACTTTTATTTTTATTCATTAGTGATCAATAATGGTGATATGGCCTTCATTTTGTGATCTTTATTTATGTCCTATGTTATAACTTTTAAATTCTCTCTGCATATGAAGTTGCCATATGCCAAGAGAGATTTATTTGTGAGGTTTTCAGAACATTCTTGTTAAGGAAACCCCATAGTGTGTGGTTGCAGCTTTCCATCATATATATATATATATNTATTTTAAAATAAATGCTACATATTAATTATTAATATATTATACTTATTATGTTATATTCACAATTATTATATTAATGATCTATTTAATTATTAAAGATCATTGCTTTGTTGATGGTTTATAACTGCTCTCATTTCGTTTCTAATTATGTATTTTATATTTCATGACTCATTTTCTTTAAAGGTTATAGAAATTACATTATCATTTAGAGAAAGAACATTATCTTTTAAATCCGCTAGAGCTTACTGTTTCGTTCTTTGTCTTAGACTTTGATCACAAGACATTTGGCAGAAAAATTTTTATGACGTGTCTAAAATAATGGCGTATTTTAATTTCTTAATCTAATTAATTGTATTCTATCATTCCGTATTACCAGCACTTAATTTTATAGTTGAAATCGTCTATGCATATACGAGTAAGTTATGATTATCTGCAACCACGGTATCAACTTCAGAAACCTTTAACATGTCGTAAATATTAGATTATTCCGCAGAGAGAACAGCCAAGAGAGACTTGGCAAATATGTCTAACTATATCTACTAGCTAGAGAGGAAAAAACTCTATTATTTATTAAAGAGATTCAATGTGCACCTTTCTAATTCAATATATATATATTTTTTTTTTGCCAGTTTTCTGCAGTGGGGAAAAAGGGTTGGCAACCTGTCGAGTGCACAGGAAGGGTATTTAAGATGATGTTGACTGGCTATGAGGCTTTTGTTTTTTCCTCTTCAGGAGATTGGTGAATTATATGAAGCATTGGTTAAGTCGGGGACAGTTTTCAGATGCGTGAGGCACAGTACAAATTGGAATCAAGATCCATCGACAATTTATGTCTTGGATTTTTTTTTTTCATGGATCTCACACACTATTTAGTGCCCTTCAAGTGATGTGTGTCGCTGAATATCTATAAGGAAACATTATCATTCATTGTGAAATATTCTTCTCTACTGTGGTTTCTTTGTTCCTGCAACGAATTGGATCATGGCGTGTGAACTATCTATGACTATAGTATTGTAACGGTGAGAACTTTAAGTGTGCATAGAATTGTATTTTGTGAACCTAGATATAATTGTACAATTACATATATTTTTGTGGTATACAGTAATACCCTGAACTTACGCGATAGGTGGGACCGAGCGATAACCGCGTAAGTCAGGGTATAATTTCGCAATTTGTGTAAAATCCAAGTCGGATGTATGTAAGCTAATAAATGTTCTCGTTAATCTTATCTCGTCTTTTGATTCGTTCACGGTTACAAGAAATCACCACATAGAGTCTCTCAAGTCTTCGTAGATATAATAAACACAAATAAATAACACAAAATAAATTATAGCTATGTGTTGATTCCGTGTGACACATCCGAACATGTAAGCTGAACAATAGTGTGGGGGGAGAGTGAGTAATCGAATGCGTGACGTTCAAACAAAAGACGAATCGACAAGATTTGAAAATCGCGTAACTCCAGATTCGTGTAAGTTGGGGTAGTGTAAGTCGAGGTATTACTGTATATAAATTTATTGTTAAATTGCCTCTTTGTGTCGCTTCCCCATGTGGTAATTCACTTACACCTACAATTAGTGAGATTATTAAGTCTTGCGATTTTTGCCACAATAGCAACTAATGCCTATGCAAATTCTACTACAGAATTTTGTACTATAAATTTATATGGCATTTATAAATACAGCTAGCCTGCTGTATTTCATTTCCTTAAATTTCTTTAAATGTTTTACTGGGCATAAATCCCATTATCAAAATCCACAAAGCAAAAATGAAAACATAAATATCAATAATGCATTCTAAAGCTTTTTGAACATTTGAAAATTCGATCATCAATAGACAAATGCAAAAGACATTGCATTAATAATTATTCCTTACTTGTTTTCTTTCATTTCTCTCTTTCATTTTCATTTTTATTATTTTCTTTTTGTAAAGACTCCTGTACATTTACTCGTGAAATCAGACCTGCCCACATTTATGTGATAAATCATCACACACAAAACCTTTTTTAACAGTTGGTGGAGGCTGAAAACATTAGTAGGTTTTGTGTCAAATACAACACTGTTAAAAAAGGTTTTGTGTGTGACGATTTATTACTCAAGACAGTGTTAGTAGTTAGAAGACATTTAGTATTTATGTAGTTTATAAAGTTTATACTTTAGTACTAAATATGCCAATAAAGTTTCAAGACAATTCTGAATTTTGTTAGTCTTGCATGATAATGAATCCCAGAAAATTGCCACAATGACAATTTATTTTGCTTGTCCACATTAAATTTTTTATTTAGATTTATTACAGTGTGTATTGTTTGAAATTAAGTATTAAATTTTTAAATTTTATCTCTCTCACCTATATACTTCAATGGTTTATTTAATTTTATTAATTGACCTAAGATATTCTTGTGAATGTTGCTCATCCATTGATCTATCATATTTTGTTGATATATATTGTTGCCAATCACAGTTTCAATAGCCTGCAATTAAAAAAATCTGTATATAGAAAAAATTACAAATTATTTTAATTTCTTCAAATAGACTATACAAAATATTAAGTAAAACTTACATCCTTAATAACAGGCTTAATTTCATCTTTATCAAAATTTGTCTGAAAAGAATTACTTTTTTAATAGAGTTATTATCATTTAATGTATTAAAATATAATACATTAAGTGATTGTAATATTGTTAGCAGTTTTAAAAATTACAACAGTGACCATATGAAAGCCTGTATAGTAATTACAAAGTCACAATGCATTAGATGGGTCCTGAATTAAATTTCCTTAATCTGTTAGACAGAATTTCGTTATAGACTCTAGTGAGCAGGCATGATGTCATTTTCTCAAAATCCAGATTTAACATGTGCTTTAGGTTCTTGTGAAGAAAATTTCTTAGCTCTATTTTGCATCTTGCACTTGTCAGACTTAAAAAAACATCTATTAGGAATTAATGTCTTCCAGTCATTAACATGTTAAAAGGTATTCAAAATAGCATAGAAAAATTGAAATTTATATAGAGAATAGAAAATCAAACATGTAATTAACTTTGGTTATAAAAACTTTGTAGCCTCTCTATACAGTCTAATACTACACAAATGGGTAGAGAGTCACAATCCATTATTTGCATCTGTTGCATAGCATTGAAAATGTTCAATATTAATTTAATTCAATTTATTATTGTTTATTAAACTTTATTTTATTTATTTTTTTGGGATATTTAGTATGATAATATAATTTGTTTGGGCTATAAGTACAGGTACCAGATTTCTAAAACAAGATTAAAAGACACTTAAAACATGCACTTGGAAGTAGAAACGAATCATCATGGTAATTGGCTGCAGATGTTACATCATTTTGACGTCATATGACCAACCTACAAATTAACGTTTATAGCTGCAATGTTTGAACTGTGAAAGTCATCTTACAGATGTCTTAAAATATTCTTTAGTATAATCTACCTTAAATTACCCTATAATGTAGAGGGAAATTTTTTACTCAAAATCATGCTGAATTTCATGCAAAACTTCATCTTAGCATAATAAAACATTAATACACTGTACATTACATGGATAGAAGTTATTTTAGGTAAAGTATATTGTGTCTAGAGATGCTCTAAACAAAGTATCTAAACATAACTTTCTACCTTAGATGTTAGACTTTATCAAGATAAAAAAATTATATACTCTATAAATTGCCATTTTAATCATAATTTTAATACTTTAAAACCTGTCTCAAAATAATAAAACTTGTAGCTTTAAACATTATACAGAGTTAGATAATCTAATAAATAGAATTTAACAATTTGGAGGGCTTATCACACCAAGGCCAACAGAAAAAGGGATCAGATCTTTTACAAAAAATTTTGTCTTTAATAATCACATTTCAAATTTAGGTAAGGATACATTTCAGGTACAAGGACCCCTCATCAGCTTACAAATGTTGGTACCATGTGTTTATAAGCTGATGAGAGGTCCTTGTACCCGAAATGCATCCTTACCTAAATTTGAAATGTGATTATTAAAGACTAAATTTTTTGTAAAAGATCTGGTCCTTTCTGTCGGCCTTGGTGTGATAAGCCCTCCAAATTGTTAAATCCTATTTATTAAGTTATCTAACTCTGTCAAATTCATAGTTGTGGGGTAAAAGCGTCATTTATTATTAGCTTTAAACATGTTTTTATTTGTAAAAAGTATTGAAATAAATACCCATTAGAAATAGTATTTCAGAAATAAGTAATAAAATAATATAATTATTAAATGAGTACATAAAATGATTCCACTTTTTTCAGAATAGTTATGTATCAATAACAAAAATATCCTAGGTGATGCATGTAGTGTAGTTGATTGAAAATCAAACTGTAGAAGTGAGAAACTGCTAACACTTTTGGTCTTCAAAAAGATGTTTTACAAGTAAGGTAGTTTAGAAAAATTCCTACCTATTTTAGTGGAGTAAATAATCCTTTTATGTGCATAGGATTTTACACAAATTAGCATTTTGTAGAAGGTGATATCAAAAAAGGTAACTATGTAGTGAAAGGTGAAATAAAAGAATACTTGGAAAAAAATTCCAAGGTTAAAGTCAAATGCTGTACAAATAATATTTCCTGTGTTATCAAAATATTTAAGTGAAAACTGAAATGGAACAAGAAAACTCTGATGTTGAAGAAAATATGGAAAGAACTCATAAAAAGTTTATAGTCATATAAGAACTACATAGAAACAACAGAGGCAAATTCATTGGAGGACATTTGTAGCCATTACTTTAAGAATTATTTTGATAAAAGATGGATTTTAATAAGAGAAATAAAATATTTACATGTTTAGTTAAGTGACTGAATTGCAATTACAGTAATTAATAGCAGTTTACTATATAAAATAGACATAAAAATGAAACATTTTCTTTACAAAAGGTACTGCAAAAATTGCACTATTTTAGATGAACTGTTTAATTTTGTTGAAAATTAGATTATTAGATATGACAAAGTAATTAAAAAATTGAATGTCTAGATCAGTGTTTCTCAACCTGTAACGAACCATCGCCTCCTTCACTTCAAAATTCCGAGGCCGAGGACCACGGCTAATGCCAAATTCGTACTGCATTGAATAGACTAGTGACTAGTATAATGTTATTTGTTTAATTATTGTACGATATAACGAATAAAATATCTAATTATTCTTAATATAATGTTTTACTATATCACCCAGAAAATTGTTTTTTGCCCCCAAAATATAAATTGTCACTAATCGCCCCCTCAACATGGAAAATCACCCACATGGGGGCGATATCACCCCTGTTGAGAAACACTGGTCTAGATAATCATGATGATAATAGAAATGTCAGTTGTTTTAAATGAAATCAAAAGATACAATGGACATACTTATTATGACAGTATGATTATATATTTTAAAAAATTATTATTAACAGCTTTGTATCTTTATGTTATTTTTCATATTAAATATACAGATCCTATCTGCACACATTACTGTTCACAAAACATTGTAAAATCGTCTATGAAATTATAATCAATAATTATGTGAAACTTCAAAATAATGACAAATCTAAAATCATTCTCGAAGAATATAAATATATTTATTTTATTGGTTTATGTTTCTTTTATCATTTTATCCTGACTTTCAAGAGTCTTATCTATATTTCTGTCAATGTTTAATCTGTAAAAATGCAAAAAAATATAACATCTTTATAAAAAACTTTTGTATAATACTTGTTGTCTGCAAATTGTTTTTAGTATTTTAATTTCCTGTACTAACATGTTTTAATATATGTAAAATATATATGTCAGAATGTAAATTTCAATAAAAATATTAAAAAATTTTATATTGCATTATTTCTATAATTAATAAACTTATACAGTACTCAGCAGAATTTTCATAACTTTTTAAATTAAACTTTATTATATAATAAATGTTTATATACAGAAGCAAACATGTTATCCATCCTATAGCACTAACTTGGTTACATGATCCAAATCCTCTATACTGTGGCCTATCTTTCTCAACCTTACTCTTACTCTTCCCCCTGCAGAAGCACTTAATTGCATTACTCATATACACTGTAAAGCAGCCATAAAAACCATATTTATTGTGATCTCAAATATATATATATAAAAATTTGCATATTATAACTAACGAGTAAGAGGATCATTATGTATGTACTACATACAAATTACATTGCTGGCTTTGCACCGTTTTACAAAATGTACAAATTATTATAATTTTGTATTCAGTAATTATAATAATTGTTTGTGATAAAACATCCCAACAGTTTGTTTTTTTCTATTATATTTTCTATTCTATTATTGATGATATCATCATAGATGCAACATGTTTTTTGTAACATATATATAGATGCAACATATTAAAGATATGCGATGGGTGATATCCCCTTTACTTAACTTTAAAATAAATTTAATGAAATTCTGAAACAGTTTTTGTCATCCATGGCATCTGTCAATGAAGAAGAAACTCAACTTTTCCTTAGATACTTTTCAATAACATATGCATCAAGGCCATATGTTTGGGCATATTGTTACAGGATCCATACTGGTCTAAATACTAACATGCATCTTGAAGCATTATTAATCTTTCAAAAACTTTTTATCTCTAGTTAGTTTCATCAATGCACTTTATACAAACATCCACCCTTTTGTTTTTTTTACCATCTAAATAGCAGTATTTAAAAACTCTATGCATTGCTTCACGATGCATGTTAGTCCAGTATGAATCCTGTGACAACATGGCCTTGATGCATATGTTATTGAAAAGTATCTAAGGAAAAGTTGAATTTCTTCTTCATTGACAGATGCCATAGATGACAAAAACTTTCAGAATTTCATTAAATTTATTTTCATCTGTTTCCTCCAATAATGTGTGCAAACTTTTATAAACAAAACCTTCCATGATATTGTCTTTAAAGATCTCTTGCAAATTCTTGTGCCAGTTTCAGTCAACATGCCAAGTACATAACAGCTGTCTGTCAGCTTTCCCATAACATTTTTCCATGCATTATATATTGCGGGTGCATCATCAGATATGAAAACCTTGGTTGATATAGTACCAACATTTTCTTTGACTGCTTTAAAAAACTGGGAATAGGATGCAGTATCAATGTGATTACTCAGAATGAAAGCACAAGGAAAACCACTTCCAAATTCATTTATTGTCAACAAAGTTGTAAGTTGGAAGTCATACCCAGTTTGTTCCACGAGTTGTGTCCACACAAGTCTTTTCTGGTCCCAAGTTCTTAAGTTCTTTTTGAAAATACGTCATTATTCCCAGAAAGAAAAAAACCTTGTCCAGAATACCACTGAAATCAACTTAACTCCATTAGCTATCTGACCTGTAATAGAATAAAATATAAGATAAATAAGACTAACAGCACAAAACCTTTCTCACTAATTTCTAGCCTTATTAACTGGAGTACAAACGTTTTCGGCCTTCTTAATAGGCCTTCCTCGGGTACACTGTGGAGCGTCGGTTAGAAGAAGTTTAAATGCTGCCAATGTTTACCCAGGTGTTGTCTTACCCGTGACGTCTTCGTCGATGATAGGTATACGATACCGAGGGAGAAAAACTACATACTTTTGGTAAAGACCTATCATCGACGAAGACGTCACGGGTAAGACGACACCTGGGTAAACATTGGCAGCATTTAAACTTCTTCTAACCGACGCTCCACAGTGTACCCGAGGAAGGCCTATTAAGAAGGCCGAAAACGTTTGTACTCCAGTTAATAAGGCTAGAAATTAGTGAGAAAGGTTTTGTGCTGTTAGTCTTAGAAATAGTTCTAGCTACATATGCATAGTAGTATAAGATAAATATAAAAAATCATAATACTATACAAAGCATCAAAACAATTATCAGAAAACCTCAACAATTATTCTATAAACTGAAGCTTATGGACTAACAAATCACTGGACAGGTGATCTTTTACTTTTTAACCTACCTGCAATGTTTGCTTTATCAGCATCACTAATTGCTAGATGTGCCAAATCTGTCTCATGTCCAAAATGTATACGGTGATATGATACTGCTACAGTACAGTCGGTTTTCTGCTGAACTTCAATTGAGGCTAGACACCTTTTTATCGATTATACGGATGGACTCTGTATAATGTAACCACGTGCTTCTAGAGAGAAACGAGGTAGTGACGTGACATCTGCAGCCAATTACCGTGATGATTCATTCCTACTAAGCACATGTCTTTTAAAAACGATTAATACTATCACTCTCCAACTTTCACTTCACCCACCACATCTCAAAAGAAGTGAAATTCATGTATTTCCGAATAACTAAACACTTTGTTTACAGCTTTTATTTTTTGATTTAAAAATTATAAGTTTCAAATTCACCATAAAATATTTGAAAATTTTAGTTTAATTTAAAATATTTGATAGTAAATCATATCTTTCTATTGAGAAGGATATAAATTATACTCATAAAGCGTCAGCCTACCACTCTGAAGATCCGACCGGATTCGATTCCGGATTCCCCAGAGGGCCGCGACTCTTTAACTGCCTCTTTTATCCAAAGCTACCACAATTTTACCTATTAATTCAGCATTAATGTGTTAGTTTTGCTTTCACTAATTAATTGCTTAATCATATTAAATAAATATTATACTTGTTATATGCATTTTTAAATAATTTTAACGCAAAATCTACAATAATATGAAATTTCAAAATATAAATAAATTATTATAAAATATAATTTTTCGGTTAAATTCCAGATACGATTCGGTCTGATTCCAGCAAACAAAAGAAAGGAAGCAGTGGGGACGCACGTTCTAACCTAACCTATTCTAATAAATTACCATAATTATCACCAACCAAATTATTAGGATAGGTTAGGTTAGGTTAGAACGGCGTCTCAACTGTTTCCTTTTGTTTGCTGGAATCAGAGATGAGCCGCCATGACGGTATACGTATCTGGAATTTAACCAATTTTTCTATATTCTAATCACGGAATAAATATTTCGTTTTTTAGTACAGGACTGGAATATTACGAAGAAAAATATTTTATTAAATTTTAATCTAAAAAATTCTATCTTGATTTATTGGTTAAATTCAGACTTAAGTTTTATTAAATATTAATTTGAATTTGACCGCTAGGTTGACGATAGAAATTCATAAAAATCGATATATTATCCATAGAGAAAGAATGTACGAATTATGTTACGATCATTAAAACTTAGAAATTAATTGTTGAATTTTTACAATATATTAAGAGAATCAAATGATAAATCTTACAGCTTCCTCTTCTGACATTTTATATTTTTCAAAGAATTGCGCTAATCAAAATTAAATTAAATGACAAATTACGATCTGAAACTATTAGCCCAATTAACTTTGAACTTTAAAAAATGGTTAAAAAAACTTATTTCGAAAGTGTAGTATTTTAATAAATAATTAAACTGTTGGTGAGATATTTCAAAAATAAATTTTATATTTCCACATGGAAAGAAACGAGGATATTTTTATTTAATGTTTTGAAATTTGTTCCAATTTAGTTCTTTTCTCCTTGTGGTCTTTTTTAAAAATGTGTTTGAAAGGGACGATTTGTTGGTTTAATAATATAAAGGGATGTGTTCCCACCATTCCATATTTATCGACGAGGATACCGTCAAATGGGCGATGGTCGACTAGACCAGTGTTCCGCAACCTTTTTCTACTCGCGGCACACCTATGACTCGAAATGACTCAACACGGCACACTAAAATGTTATTTCCCCCAATAACTTATGATATGATACTATTAGTGGAATTTCGTAATGCCATAAACCTATTATTATTATTATGTTGAGTTTTGTGAGTTATACTCGAGACACCGATGGCTCTGTACTATGCCGGACCAGAGTCAAGGCATAGTAACCAAAACAAAACAAAAAATTAAATAAGTGTGTCAGTGTGTGTCTGTATTCAGGAATTTCCTAACAATATGACATGCATTCAATATAGTGGCCTTCTGTAGTGTGATATGTGTTTCTATTCAATTGTAATGTTCCCAGGCTTTTGTGTAGCGTGTTTGGTATCACACCTGTACAGGCAGTGGCGTACCATGGGTGTCAGCCGCCCGGGGCGGAGGAAAATTTCGTCCCCTTATTTAGGTATTTCAATTTAAAAGACCAAAATTCAGTTTTGTCACAGAATAAGCAATGAAAAATTCGGTGGTAGTGCAGCGACCGGTTTAAAATACAGTCGACCCCCCTATAAGACAGTAGATACGTTCCATTCTTTAGGAATCCGATTTCTTACGAGTCCTTCCAATCACAGCCCGACACGTGTCAAGTTTACGGACTACGGCTGTTTGAAAGGTTTTCTTCCATAAAATTAATCGATTCTAGACTAATCCGACTCAACATTTCCAAAATACGTATATATTT